AAAAAGCCTCGCGAATTTCATTGGACACTGTATAGAATCCCTTGGTTCCTAGGTGTGGTTATGAGTGTGAATGTTTGTTTGTCTATATGTGTCCTGCGATTAGCTGGCAACCAGTTCTGGGTGTACCCCACCTACTGCCCGAAGACTGCTGGGACAGGTTCCAGCATGTCCGCGACCCTCGTGAAGATAAGTGGCTAGGATAATGGATGGATGTTTTTATAAAGTACAATAATATAGACTTCTATTTTCCTGATTTAACAAACATTTCCTTTTGTAGGGGAGGCTGGAACAGATGAATGGCATTTCCATTCATTTTAATGAGGTAAGAGAATTTGAGAACGAACTGTTTTGAGATACATGGTCGTGAAACTAATTAAACTTGTACCTCAAGGCACCACTGTGCTGTCATTTCAAGCTTGTAGTGGTGTCGTGGTGTTTTCTTTTCTTTTATTTCCTTATTTAGCTCTTTGTTGGACTTTCCCTGTCAGCCCTGTAATCCAGCCAGACAGTGCTGTAAGACAGCGGCAAGGTTTTAAGTGCCTTCAGAAATGTCACAATACATTGCTTTTGTGGAGAAATTGCACACAAACACACAAACGCAGATGCTGTCACATATTGTATGTCAAGTGGAATTGCATGAGAATGGAAGATGGTTCATAAAAATGTTTCTTGAAGGCTTCTGATCTTATTGTGATGCAATTATCCTCACTGTGGTGTGACATGTCAGCAAGAAGGAGAGCTTTGCAGTGAGTGGATAAGAGTGAAGAAATTACCAGAATTCAACCACTGCTGCTGGTCAGTTACCTCCCTGCGGAAATAAAAAAGCAGCATACACCGGCATCGGTTTTCTTGTGTTTCGGTGCTGGTCTTGCTGCTGCCACCACCAAGGCCAGCAGCAAACGCAAAACAAAACAGCCGAGATTTAAATGGCATAACCTTCCATCAGAGGTGCAGGGTTCGATACCAGCTCTGGCCTCCCTGTGTGGAGTTTGCATGTTCTCCCCATGCCTGTGTGGTTTTTCTCCGGGTACGCTGTCAAAACTCTGACAAAATAAATAACTTATATGTCAGAGGGGGCTTTATTTTGAGGTTTTTACTCTTCCTTTTCTAATTCTTAAAGTTGAATTGATCCAAATCAGCTTGGTTAACCATTAAATGAGGGGTCACTAACCTTTTTGAGGCTGAAAGCTACAGTACCCTACTGATTAATGTGTAGTTTCATACACATATCTCCAATAGCAAATTTGCTCAAATTAACTTGTTTGATGTGCTATTCATAGTTAATCATATTCTTTTTGTGAGTTCTCACAACAGCTCGAAAACACAAAAATACCTGTACTTTTTTTTTTTGCCAATGGTTGTTAGGGAGGGGCCAGCCACGCAGCCTCTTCAGCCTCAGGTGTGAGGTGCAGAGCACCCTGGCTGAGGAGGCTGCCTGACTGGCCCCTCCCTAATAATGGTCACAGCTTTAAATGATAACTTGTACTACACAACATTCCTAAGAAATCACAATGTCCCATTTTTGATGAGGTATTTTCAGAACAGCCCGCATGCTACTCATGTGGTCCTTTGGGGCTACCGGTGCCTACGGGCACCACGTTGGTGACCCCTGCATTAAATGATCACGAGCTCAGTACACATTTAAGATTCACACAAGAAAATATTGCTTTGCAGAATGTGGCAAAAACATGACATGTTCCAGGCAAGGTATTTTGTGTTAATTATGTAATTCATTTGGAGGGTACTTCAGAGAGAGGAGAGCGCCGAAGCGTTCAAAAGTGTGTCTTAGTGTTCGACAAGGATGATTGAAGTAGATATTATCAGTATGTGTTTGTATTCAATGCTTCCATTTGCATCTTCTAATGCTAATGAGGACTGGGAGAAACTACTTTTACAGCACTTTTTTTGGTTTGCATTCAAAATATGTAGATCCATAGAGGAGTGTCTTTCAGGAAAAGCAGAAATTGGAGCACAGAATTAACTGTATATTTCCATAAATGTGCTCTGGCCTAGCAGCCGTCTGTTGGTGCTGATACTGCGATAACAACCCCGGAGGCCCTTGATGCATATGCATGATTGTACAGCGCACATACGCACTGCTAGCTCATTAGCGGCCACTGCCCTGAGGCTTCCAACTGAGGGTAAGGCCTCATTGCACAGTTCAGCAGCTCTGATAGTACTCGGGGCATTTTGGACTTCCCTGTGTGAGCGTCAGGTGCAAGCACCTCCAGTCATATTTCATCATTTGGATCCTTTCTGCCACAGCTGTCATCACCATATTTGGGCCAATGTTAGTAGTATCTGTAACTTTCTAGAGCAGAAACAGATGGGGCCAGTTTTTTATTTTGTGAATAGTCCAATATTAAGAGTAACGTCTCCCAGTATGGAAAGCAATTTAAAAGCAGGTTTAATGTCAATGGAGGCAAAAATAAATTCCACATTAAAGGAGACATGTCTTGCTGAAATCAACTAGTTTTAGATATATAGTGAGCTAGGCCTCATCCACCATATATTGCTGGGCCAATGGCGAGTCCAGCTTTCATTCCACTGACGAACAGTGGGCTGGATGTCACACATTCAGTGCAGCTTTCGGCTGTCTTCTCTACCGCCTTGCTTGGCGGAGAGTGTGCACTGTGGCTGGATGCAGAAGCTAGACTTTTATCCTTGGGGTGGCCAAGGTTATCTCAGGGGGTAGGCAAAAAAACAAAACAAAAAAAACATGTTACCAGCAATCAACATCCATTTTTATATTGAATAAAATTTGCACGCACACGCACATATGTATTCCCTCCACATACAGTTACTGTATTTAGAGTTACTCAAACTCATGGTTTCTTCATTCCTGAATGAATGAATTTTATGTTTCCATGTTGTGTGATCAAATCCATAAATTTTGGCATCATCTGTGATCAAGCCTATGTTTCAATAAAATAAGTTTTGAAATTAAAATTAAATTATTTGAGAGGTCTCTGATGCTTGTTTCTACTGGCAGAAGCAGAGTCCAAAGTGTGGAAAAAGGGAGAGACTCATAGAAATTGAAGGCATTTTAAGTCATGGAGGTAGCAGCTGAAATACTCTACAGTACTTTGAGTATAAACACAAATCCCCCGCCACCTTGACTTCACCGAACAATCAAGTAAGTGCCACCTATCGAAGGCTAATGCTGTTAGCAAATACAAAGCATTAATCTGCAGGCAAGGCGCCAATATTTTTTTCTATAGATCTCAACTCTTGATACTGAGATAACATACTTGGAATGATCGATGCAGCCAGTGAAATTCGCTCTCTGCAAGGCTCTTCTGATTCCATACAAGGATCCTGGTATAAAAAATGCACTGATAACAGTGCTTTCAGAAAAAAAAAAAAAAAAAACAGAAGTTGTCAGTTGCAGAGGCGATGCAAGAGGCTGCCTTCTGGCAGTCCGGGATACGTCCTTGAAACACACACAGGGTACAACTGCAGCACAAACACGGTAACAGGAATTGTATTGGAAAAGAATGGCTGCTTGTGAACTTTTTAATGTTTTTAAACTTAAATAACTAAATAGATAGATAGATAGATAGATAGATAGATAGATAGATAGATAGATAGATAGATAGATAGATAGATAGATAGATAGATAGATAGATAGATAGATAGATAGATAGATAGATAGATAGATAGATTGCTGGGCGAGCTCAACGTGGGCTTCCAAACTATAGTACACACTTCAAGTAAGTGCCAATTTGGGCTGCTAAGATTAGTTGACGAGGCACGACTATGTCAACGGCCAAATTCGTCGTTGGCTAATTTAGAGGGTCTGTATCATGCTATTTTAGGATTTCTACAAATAATTACAGTCTCGGTGTGTGTGATAGATATAAATATATATGTAGATATATATATGATAATTACATGTTAGCTTTGGCACAGTGTCAATCCGAATTTGTATGAAGTATGAGTTATATTGGTGGCTATTTTTTTAACCCGGTTCATGAAACCCCTGCCCTTCCCCATGTGGCTGTCGCATATTATAACCGTTCCACAACATGGCAACATGGGAAGGGCCTAAGATAGGTATGGGAATTGGGGGAAAGGGGGGAGGGAAGAGCAGTGCATATCAAGGTTTCGACTTTCCAAGTACACACACACGCACACACACACACACACACACACACACACACACACACACACACACACACACACAAGTGTACAATTTAAAAGGACGAATTAGGTCATATCAGGATTTGGCATGGAATGGCATCATAACGACGACTATTATTCACATTACGCCATCCATACATGTGTGCCATCCATACATGTGTACATCTCTTGTTGCAAGACGTTAATTCTGAACGGAAAACTGCGAAATTGTAAATGACTGTGCAATTGAAGACTTGAGTGAACAAGAGTAGACATTATATTTTCTTTGCTGCCATCTTGTGGTCAGTTTTACGGATGATGCTATGAAACGGCGCGTGCGCAACATGTCCTAAATCGCTTTCCGTAGTTATTTTGCGACCAATAAGACGTATTTGCCAGGTAAGAACGTCGTGTACTTACAATACAATTTATTGCAGTGTGCGATTGTGTGTTGTACGCCATAAAAAATATTTTGTGTAGTTTCGGGAATGCGCTCCGTTAATGAAGAGAAGAGAATATAAAAGTTGCGTCTCTCCAAGCACACACACACACACACACACACACACACACACACACACACACACACACACACACACACACAAGTGTACAATTTAAAAGGACGAATTAGGTCATATCAGGATTTGGCATGGAATGGCATCATAACGACGACTATTATTCACATTACGCCATCCATACATGTGTGCCATCCATACATGTGTACATCTCTTGTTGCAAGACGTTAATTCTGAACGGAAAACTGCGAAATTGTAAATGACTGTGCAATTGAAGACTTGAGTGAACAAGAGTAGACATTATATTTTCTTTGCTGCCATCTTGTGGTCAGTTTTACGGATGATGCTATGAAACGGCGCGTGCGCAACATGTCCTAAATCGCTTTCCGTAGTTATTTTGCGACCAATAAGACGTATTTGCCAGGTAAGAACGTCGTGTACTTACAATACAATTTATTGCAGTGTGCGATTGTGTGTTGTACGCCATAAAAAATATTTTGTGTAGTTTCGGGAATGCGCTCCGTTAATGAGAGCTGTAATCAGACAACTAAACTATAAAGTGTCAAAACAAGATCAGCTGATTCACCTTCTGTTTTTCCAAATGCCAAACGCCATTTGACGTTGTTGGTCGATGTTGTAACACAGTTCCAAAGTAAATGTTGTCTTGCTGTTGTTTTCGCTTGTGCCAAATGAAGCACATACGTAACCATAACATTGCGTCAGCTAGTTTGTGAGCGTGTGCTAACAAAACTTAGCTAGCACGTCCAGATAGCTACAACTTTCACATAAGAAACGACTTGGGAATCCGAAGTAATACTTTCGTTTATGCTTTCGAACAGGTCAGACGATTTATAAGGAAGCCAAAAGTCAACTCTCGGCGATGCCCAGCACAGTAAGTTACACATTTGTATCTTGCAGTGGATGTGTTAACTACAATCTGGTTAGCTAATGTGTGGGATGAGGTGGTATAGTAGTCGTTGCAAAAGAATGTATATTTAGAGAATAAACCGGCCGTGAGCCTTTAGCAAAGAATGCCTAACGGTGTAGGGGTTTTCTCCGATGAAGTCACCCTTACAGTGAGTCTTTGTGTACGATAGGTTTTGTGTGGTGGAGGCCGACTGGTCCGTTCTCAGACTCTCGGTCGGCAAATTTTAGCGGCTCTGAAGTTGGGTAGAGTCAGAACATTCTCTACTGCAAACCCAGATGAACCTTACATATCTGTCACACACACAGAATCAGGTATGCTTTCAAATGTTGCACTTTTTGTTAATACTATCTTTAAAATGTGTAAAATATTTGTGACTCCAAGTACCAAAAGTAAAAATAATTGCTTTGTTAGTTTTGTGTCATCCTGCGAATTATTTCAACAAACAACGGCTAAAGGTCATAACTCAGGTGTCCTCTGCAGGCCCTCGGACTGTGTGGCCCGATGAGAACATGGGACCTTTCGGACCTCAGGACACACGCTTCCAATTACCAGGCAATGTCGGCTTTGACAGCCATCTGGACGGCTTGGAAGAGAAGAAATCTCCAGTCGACAGGACTGTGCCTGATGTACTAACAGCCCCGTGCAGCTCAGAGAGACAACAGTTCATCCTAGCCCAGTTTGTCAACGAATTTCAGGTTGGAATCATTAACGTCAGTCCTGTTGTAAAATGAGAGTTTAGCAAATTCTAACATTTTGACTTTACAGCAATTACCCCAATGTTCGTGCATCCTGAGTCAACCTTAAATTAGATTATCGGTCCATCCATTTTCTATGGTGCTTCTCCCAATTGGTATCATGACTGAGCTGGATCCTATTACACTCAACCATGGGTGAGAAATGGGAACTGTCATCCAGTCACAGTAAATTCCATTTTCCAAAATTCCCCTTAAACATAGACGCAGTTCTTAAATCTGCCATTCAAAAGTTTGAAAACATCACAGACCCAATAAACAACATTGGCATACAGTCAAACCTCAGTTTTCGAACGTCTCTGTTCTCGACCAAATCGGTTTTCGACCAAAAATTTCTCGTTTTTTATGCCTCGGATGACGACCGAATTTCGGTTCTCGAACAAACTGAGCGCACTTGAATGCGTCACTTGACTCCTCTCGCCTTCCTTACACGAGGAAGTGACGCTTCCTCGAGTAGATGAGGAAGTGACGCTTCCTCGGGTAGATGAGGAAGTGACGCTTCCTCGTGTAGCGTTCCATTGTGCACAGACGTGTTCAATAAAGATTTTTTTTTTTTTTAAAGAGCATGGTTTCGGTTTTCGAACAGCCTTCTGGAACGGATTATGGTCGAAAACCGAGGTATGACTGTATTTTCCTAGGATTTGTTTTTTTTTTAGATGAATTTGTAATTAGCATTTTGATTTTTAAAATAATGCAACGGGTGTAACCACCACTATGCCATTCGTTGTACAGGGAATAAGGGGAAGGGTCTATGAAATATGTCATATAAAATATTGCCAACATTTTGTTTTAAATTATACAAAAATTAATCAACTTTTGCGCACATTTTGCCCCCTCGCCCAAATGGGAATACATTGAACTGCATGTTTACGGTTTGCATTCGCCTGTTTGCAGATTTTTTGTGTAGAATGAAGTGTAACCTATTTGCTGTTTTTATGTGCATGCCAAAGAAATAACAGTATTGCTTTGGCATTATCAGATGGCATCTTGGTGCCAAGGAACTGTTGAAGTTGAGAAGCTTCATTTACACAATTGCAATTTGTTGCCATCTTGTGGCATCTATAAGTAACAAGCGTACAGTAAACCTTTTTTGGGGTGTGTAAATTGCTCGCACCAGTCCCCTAAGAATTACCGGGGCGTATTTAGTGAATGAGAGGTCATTATTCTTCACAAATTCTTAAACAGTTTGGTTTAATTAAATCAGCACTCACATTTAAACTATGATCTGCTTGTGCTGCTCATCAGGGGAAACTAGGCCCCATATCCAAGCGCGTCCACAAAGCTGAGCAGTACTTCAATCAAACAGACACTGATTGCTCCATAAGTTCCTGTCCTGAGCTGTTAAGGAAAGGTGAGTGCTCTTTTGATTTACGTTTTCCCAAAATAGTTAACATGAAGTGCTGGTACATAAAGCTAACTATAGAATATTTGTGTTGTCAGATTTGGAGCTTTTGTTCCCAACAGTGCCCAATACTTCCATCACAGTTGTGACGGTCTCACAGAGGAGCGGTCGCTACAAGGGGGCGGAGCTAGACAGAGAGCAGTTACTCAGAAAAGTGAGTCTTCAGTGTGAAGTGGAACCTCGAAAGCTGAACCTGTGGTCCTCATTCGGGTCATGCCTTAGTTGGTGCCTTTCTTAGCTGACTTTGGGCAAGGGGCGTGGTAAACCCTGGACAGGTTGCCAGCCACTCGCAGGACACATATCGACAAACTAGCATTCACATTCACACCGATGGATAATTTGGTCCTCAGTCAAGCTAAGATGCATTTTTTTGGTTAGTTTCGGTGTCACTATGTGACTGACAGGCCACCAAATTCACTGATGCTGGACTGAGCGGGCCAGTACAAATTTCACAAGTTAATACGAAGAAATCCAAACATTTTTGCTTTTTTTCATGTTTGATATTCAGTATTTTGAGGTTTGTAAAATTGAATTCGTCAAGCATCATTGGTCTTTCTACCGTACTGCACACCTATGTTTGCCCATCAGGTAAAATAATTTGATCAGGAATGGCTTGAACAAGATGTAAAAGCCATCAAATGTCAAAAGTTCAGTTCGACTCTTTACAGCAAAAAAGAACAGAACATGTTAAAAAAAAAAAAAAAGTCATATATTTACTTAAAGGCTGGCATAATACAAAATAAAGATGCTAACTGTTCTATAATAACACCTAATAATTGTTGAAACTTTATGTATTATATCATGAAAATAGAGTGCCAGCACTGGTTCTATCAAAGCCACACATGTGTCACGGTGGCCCGACGTGGCCACAACCCAAAAGGCTTAGTGTAGGACTCTGGTTTTGGGGATCTGGGAGGAAGCTGACATGGAGTTTCGAGCCCGAAACTCTTGAACTCTGAGGCAGACGTACTAACCAGTAGGTCATACGACTTAACCCATAAATGACTCCGAAAGTTGCACAATGCTTCAAATTGCCATCTTGCCCGATTTCATGTTTTCTAGCATTACCGTACACATCATCACCGTCGGCATCTATCTCGCATCTATGATGGTGAGCTTCACCATCGGAAGAGGTTCCACTGTGTTATGTATTTGATGTCAATGTTCGTATCTGTGAGATGTATTGAGGCGATTTCCACTGTGCTTCTTCCTCACTGCAGTTTGTGAGCGGTGCTAAGGAGATGTGTTTTGCACTGTGGACCGCAGGCTACTGGGCTGACTTTATCGATCCAACAACAGGAGAAGCTGTGAGTTCTTTCGCCGCATTCAGTTTTGCAACTATATTGACACTTCACCAGGTACACTTGCGCAAGCTAAGGAAATGTCTAAATCTGAATTTCAAAAACAGATTTTTATTCATTTGTATTATCTAATCAAGATGCCTGGAAGGAGCAACATATCAATATGATGCAGTGCTGTTCCAGGCCACTGCATTGTTTAAGAGATACCTGTGAATGAGTGCATCACAACTCCGTATCTTTGTAAAGACTGAATTGTTAGACGTCTTTCTTATTATGGCTGATAAGTATATTTAGCATTATGAGGGCTAAATGCTGTTCTTACCTAATTGTTGTTCACATGCAACGGCAGTGAATAGCATCATTGTACAGGGATCAATTTCTTAACCTACTCGTTTTTATTTCGAGTAATTGGTAATTGCTGTCTGTGTGTTTTCCCCACAGTTCTTTGCATCCCCGCTTCGTTCAAGTTCAGGCCAAACAGGAGAGGAGCCACGGCATTCTGGCTTCCGCATCGAGATGTCGGGCTCCTGCACGGTTATCCGACACATTCTGAGAGGAACACCTCAGTTTGTGGGGACGGTTTTCACCAACGCACCGACCCACAGCGGTGCCATCACGCGACTACAAGGACTCTCACATGGACTGGATGATGAGGCTGAATAGTTTTCTTGGTGCTCCAAGTCCATCCAATGTTGTGAAAAGGCTTGACAAAGAAGAGCGTGTGTGGTTTTTATTTGTCTGTGTAAAGTGCATCTACCACACTGCTACTGAGCAAGCGGGCGAGACTGATCCTGAGCAACTCTGTGCTGGCCCTGCAACCGCCCTACACTGCATCCTCGCACCTGCACTACGACAGTTGGCCTTTTAGGAGGCATCACCAGGAGATTTTAGCAGGCAGGGTGTCAGTCCTCAAGGTTAGAGACAACTTGAATCTTTAGCAGTTTTCAAAGTCTGATCTGACAAATTATTTATGGATTTAGGTGCTGAACCAATAAAGTGACCCCAACCTGCACTGATAAACATTCCTGTGATTTGGTTTTCTCACAGGAAGCACAATTTAGAATCCTTCAGTCTTGGTCCTATGTCAGAGTTTCCTGGTATTGGTAGAAGCCAGCAACCTCACCCGTCCATGCTCACAGGCCAGAGAGACTTTTGCAGTCCTTTTCCTAAAAAAAGCCTTAACTACCGTAAAAAAGTCCTTCTTTTTGGGTGCCTGGAGATGGTTTTTCAAAGCCCTTGCAAGAGCTTCTACAAAAACAAGTTGGCAGCACACCATAGAAAAATACAGGCGCTCCTTCGAACCAAATTCCTGACAGAGGTCCTTGTAAATGTCAATGTGGAAGTCGCCAATGTTCTGCGGGTGGTTGGGGCGTGTTTCGACCACGGTGCTCTTTAGCTGTGCTAGCATCCAGTCAATGTCCATCTCCAGCACCGACTTGGCATTCGAGGCGGCAATATGGTCCATCAGCTTCCACAGGAACACAGTACAAAATATGTTTTCTTTCTTTGTCCATGTTTCTGCTGGCGGGTGAAGGCACGTGTTTCCTGTCTTTATGTGCACCTCAGTGGGAGTCTGAGCGTGAAGGTGCGTTGACACCTTCTCGCACGTTTGTACAGGAGTGGGAAGAGGAGCCACCAAGATGTTCGTTGCGTCCTCCGACGACTCGCTGCCTGCGCAGTCCTCTTCAATTCCATATCGACCCGCCATCCTCATGTTTTCCAGGCAATCCCTGAGTACTGAGATTGATTGCAAAGCTATTTCGCCGATTTCAGACACCTGATGAGGCACGTCCAGGTGTGGCGCAGAGTCGAGCTGCGATGACATTTCGGACAGTGCGCTGTTCACAGTCTTGGACACTTTGGCTGCGACCAACTCCAACAGGTGATCGCCGCATGGAGACCTAATCTCTCCGGCGTTTATTGTGTCTTTGAGAGCCAACAGAAGTGAGTCCCAAATGCATGCGTGGATATCATCCACGGTCACACAGGAGTAGTTGAGCGCCTGTTGTGGAGAGTCACAACCATTCCTATGGAGGGGAGGAGACAGAATTGCACAGATTTGATTGCTTCTCTCCACGTTTGTTTGTACTGGGTGTGCGTAGAGGCATTGGACTTACACTAGGATCTGGGCATGCTCTTCCACCTGAGGCAACACAACACTCAGCACCTCTTGGGAGATTTTGTATAGGATGCTTTGCCACATTTTCAATAGCACCATGAAAGCATTGCAATCAAAATGACCATATTCTATTAAGTCCCACGTCCTGCAAGTAGGAATTAGCGGGTGTTAGCCCAAAATGACAGTCTTTCCATCCGATGAATGACTTGACTCGTTTGTTTTGTCTTACTTACTCGGATGTTAAGCCATCAAGATACAACTGTAATTCACTTTTGAAGAATTCAGTGGCGAGCAGGGGCATGTTCAAGTTGCTGCACCGCAGATATTTGGGTTCAATTGGGGACTGACAACAAGAGAAACAAAATAATTACACGAAATAACCACTGGACTTAACAAACACACCACCCCAAAAATCAATGAAAAAATAGTCATCATCCCCATTAGAGACGTAGAGAAAAAATATCTGCCATCAAAAATATAATACTGTTTTAGATGACACCCGTTCAACTACTTTATAGGTTTATTATGGTTGTTGGTTTTTCAGTGGTGTAAAACAGCACTGCACCAATAAAAGTACATATGATCACCCTAACAAGACAGACATGTTGATGCTGTCTTGGGTGTCATCACTTGTGCACGTGAATCATGTGCTGCAACCTGCAGGTTACCTCACGACCACGAGCCCAAGTTCGTCATGCTTTAAATGCAACTGTGAACTAATCTGTTGCTTTAGAAATGAAGTTTTGCTTATGTTTAAGCATAAATTGAAATGTAAGTATGTTATCACGGGGGTCAAAAAATCCATAGGGGTTCACGCGCATGTGTGTGATTTACTCACGTCATCGTTGTTGGAGTGAGTAGACCGATCCCTCAGGCTGCTACTCATTTTTGTTTTCAAGGAAAAGATTTGAGAAGCAATGCCTCCTGTCTTAATGAACCCTTTCAAGGTGAAATCTTTTGAAAGAAAAAAAACATTTCACCGCCTCGTCAAGAAAGCAAGTAAAACACTACATCTGTGTAATTTGACACGTTCCACCTTGACGATGGACGTGTTGCGTCTGAACGCCACACGTTTGTCACGTGACGTCACCCAACACTTCGTGTTCGCGCGCGCACATACGCAAAGTACTGAATTTGCTTAGTACAGTACTTAAATTGTAGAGGTGCACTGCAGTAACTGCTGATAAAATTATCGCCTGTTATATCGTTAGGTTCACCTGCACAGCCTGCTCCACTTCCACCCAGTCGACGTCATCAGATCGCGATCCCATTCCGAACGATAATGACAAATGCAATCTATGGGATGGAAGGACAGAGCGAGTGAATGTCATAAATAAATTTACAGATATGATTACAAGAAGAGCTTCCGTCAAATATTGAGAATTACCGTCCGGTGAGCTTACTTTGTGCAGCAAGTCAGGTTCTGGAATCTATTGATGCTGATTCCCGTGAAACCTTTTTTAGACTACTTAGCTATTAGGAAATGGTCGGTACCAATTTCGCAAATCTGCAGAAGTCAACTGTTTCCCAGGTTTTCGATATGACGAATAATTGGACCAATGCAATGCTCTTGGTGGTGGCACCACATGTGTTGTGTTGATACATTTTACTTGTGTAGACTTTCGTAAAGTGTTTGATAGTGGGTCTCATGTTCAACTCCTGCATACACTTGTATCATGTGGCATTGCTGGCAAACTTGAATGGGTTTGGGTTTGTTTGAGGTACAGGGTTTGGGTTTTTGGGCGGAAATAGTTTGTGACGGTTGGAAATTCAAAATTAGTGTGCCTCAAGGGCCCCTTCTTGGCTATAAGCGTTTTCTTACGTTTATCAATGATTTTGATTCGGTGTTGCAGTTTCTTTGTGATATATTCTCTGCGGATGATGCCAACTTCTACGGTTATTTTAGTCATTTCCCGATGTAAGTGACTGAATAAAGTCTGAGTTGGATGCAGTTTATCAGTGGGAGTTGGAAATAGCGGCCGGAAAATGCTTATTAGCGCATTAAGGCTATGCTAACCAAAAATGGGACACAGGTAATAAATAATGTAGTTTGTGACTTGGTGTTAGAATTCCCTGAAAGTGTAAAGTTTTCTCACCATTGTTCGATAATTGTGTGGGGGGGGGGTCTTCCTAAAGGTTAATCTTATTTCAGCTCATTTCCACAACAGTAACATTGTGGGATTTTTTTTTTGGGGGGGGGGGTGAAGTTATATAAAGTTTTTGTTAGACCAGGATTAGAGGAAGAAACTGAGGTATGGTAAAGCGCTTTGTTACAGCTGCAACTGTGATTGTAAATCAGGATGTATTGTATTGTACTGTACCCTTTTTAAAATTAGACATACAATTAATAGAGTGCAACACCGATCGACTCGTAGACTGCCAGGTTTCTCTGCGTACTCATATAGCAAACATTTAGCCAAACTTAATCTTCAGTTCCAAACTCATTGTCGTATTGTGTTTGATTTGATTGTGGTGTATAAGATTATTAACGGTTTAGTGAAAATGAACTTTCATTCATTCTTTGAGTATGGATTGTCTGATCTAACCAGAGGTCACAATTTAATGCTCCATCTTTCCCACTGCACTTCATACATGCAAACTAAGGCAGTGGAGACACAGGCTTGTTTTCTCAATCACAATCGTGCTGCCATCAGAAAAAGCACCGGCGAATGGCAATATGGAACAATGCCTATGGAAAATGCATGCATGGATGGATGGACGGACGGATGGATATTGCAGTAGGGCTGCGTCCAAAGGATTCATCAAACTAATTGTGCTGTGATAGAGCACTGCCTTTATACACAAAAGCAATGCATGCAGGCTAACTGAACTTGCAGCCGCTTTAATAAGACTACTGACAACTATGGAAATCGGAAACAACGACAACAAAAAAACCCCTAATAAAGACAGTATTTCACAATATGATAAAGCTGAGCGTTCAGTTGTAATAATGTTGTTCGCCTTCAGTGTATGTCAACTGACATGAACACCATTTGTGCCTCACATACATCCAATAATGAGCCTGGTGCTGATGAGGATGATGACGATGTCGATCAGTGTCACAGCATGACGCCCTCTGTCTGAGTTCACCAGAGGGGTAGCTGAGGAGAAAACTGCAGCACTCTTGTTTTGGGGAACTAACGAGTTGCAAATATTCCCTTTGCAGCAGGATGAGCACACCTGACAATTTTTTTTTTTTGTGTTAGTTATTAGGGTGATACTGTAAGCTAAAACTTTAATCATCCACATATCCGATAGCGATTATCAGTGACTTCAGCACAGCCTGTTAACAGGCAGTCTTCCGCAGTTACACAACGCTTGGTCACAGACACGCTGTCTCCATGGTGATCCATCATGTGGGCAGCAAAATAGTATCTGGTATCTGGAGGACACATGTCACAATTGTGCTCACGCTCTCAAAGTGGATCTAGAATGAATATCTACTTATGTACAAGTTCTAGAGAGCTATCAATTATTTTAATAATGTGTAATAAAGATACCTTTTGGAGCCAGACCCACATTATTTCCCACGAATCTTAGATGTGCACCTTACTAACACATTTGGACAATGCTATCTGCTCTTCCAGCTTCATGGAGACAATATGGGGAATTGGTGGGTTTTTGGGTTATTCACTGTATTTCTGAGAATATTTGAGTGGCCTATATTAAAGTTTGTTTCAAGTCGACACATGGCAGTTGCTGACGCAACTACCTATTTGTCTCTGATAAGTAGTATGGTACCCAAGTACTGTATAGTGATGCACTGTACACGTCAAGGTAAAAGACACGCACATCTGCAAATGAACGTGCTCTGTCCAACAGTCACCTGCATGTTATAAATACGTAAATGATATCCTAAACTCTCAAAAACGGAAAAAAATAGATGCTTTATCAGCATACAGACAATTTTAGCTGCAAGTCTTCAATGAATAAGAGCACTATTTGTCGGGATGCTGTTGAAAACAGCAAATCCTTTTGTTGTATACACTTAAACATTTCCATTGCAACACCTTGCCTCCAACTAAAACTGTATATTTGTATATACACTCAATACTGACTGTACTTAGAGATTATCAAACCCGCACAATACATTTTATTCACTGATTATTCATGTAGAATCGACGTGGGATGGGCTCCAGCAGGCCGGCCTGCAACCCTTGTGAGGACAAACGGTTCAGACAGTGGATGGATGGATGGATGTAATCGACAGAAATTGAGAAGAAGGTTTGATGGAGGCCAAAATGTGTTGTGAGGAACCAGAACAACAAACAATTTATCGGAATCAGCAATCTTTCTTGTTTATATTCGGCTCGAACGCTTTGAGGTCAGAACTGGGGCGATCCGAGTGGCATAATTCCGATTTCCCCCGCTTGCTCTAATGCCGCATTGGTGTTTACTTCCGGCATCAAAACGCGCGCGCATCTGTCGCCATATTGAAGTCAAGTCCTCCATCGCCATTCAAGCTTTTTTTCACCCCATACAATTTATATTTAAACTGGATAAAGGATATCATTTCTAAACTATGGCTGACCAAGATGTACAGTTACCGAACCCGCAAAGTGGCAGTTCACCGCCACCACCCAATAGCGGCGCAAACTCCCCTGCCGCCGCCGCCGCCGCCGATGAGCAAACGCCGGCCAACAAAGACAGTCCAGCGGCGCCGGCTGAGCAGTTATCTGCGGCCGAAGGAGCCGCGTTGGAAAGCGGTCAGGCTCCAGTACAAATGACGCTTAATATTTCAAATTTTCGTAAACCAGGCGAGAAAACATTCACGCAACGCTCCCGTCTTTTTGTTGCAAATCTGCCGCTGGATATACCCGAGGAGGAATTCATCAATTTGTTCGCTAAATATGGAAATACAGCCGAAGTATTTATTAATAGAGAGCGAGGATTTGGGTTTATTCGTTTGGTATGTATGACGTTCATGAATGAATCCATAATCACGGTTAGCTCATCTATTCGGCTAGTTCACGCATGTTTTGCAGCACTGTAGTTTGTTTTCGTTAAATGACTCGCAGCACGTGTGTCAAACCCAAGGCTCGGGGGTCAGATTCGGCCCTCCGCCTTATCTGATGTAGCCCGCAAGGCAAATCTTCTGCGTCGACTTCATGGTTCTTGCTAATACACCAAAATTGCAAATTATCTTTACTTTTTATAGTATTGAGATATTGGAAGCATTTTTGTGACAAGTTGCCCTTTAAAACAACTGCAACATACTTGAACATTTTTTTATAACTAGCTTCTAAATATTCATTCATTTGTTGTTTATATGTGATAATATAAGAAAGATATACAGTACAGCTCATCAGTGTTCATTCAGTTTCACCATGAGCGATTAAAATTAGTGCGATTGAAAAGCGATGATCCAAATGTGCACCTTTTTGGCTGGTGTGTATTAGTTTTCTGTTAATTGAATATCAACTTTAGAGTCCATTGTTTTGGTGTAAATTGTGAATGGCGATTCAGTTTGAATTTAAAATTGAAGATCAACATAATACATACCAGGGTTTAATTTGCATACAGTATACACCGGTAATGAAAATATTTCCCGAGATGTTAGGAGTCTGTTCACCTTTTCGTTTCTGTCTTTCAGGAGAGCCGTACACTAGCAGAGATAGCAAAAGCTGAGCTAGATGGGACAGTATTGAATAATCGACAAATCAGGATCCGCTTTGCTGCTCATGGCGCCGCACTCACTGTGCGGAACCTTTTGCCTGTTGTCACGAATGAGCTTTTGGAACAGGTAATGCAGAGAAGAGTTAGTATAGCTATTTTTTTTCTCTTTTGGTGCAGTAGTGACGAGGATGTGTGACTCACCTTGTTCTTCCAGGCCTTTTCACAGTTTGGCCCGGTGGAACGGTGTATCGCTGTGACAGATGACCGTGGGCGGCCCACTGGCAGAGGCGTTGTGGAGTTTGCAAGCAAAGCGGCCGCACGTAAAGCCCTGGAAAGCTGCACGGAGGGAGCGTTACTGCTAACGGCGTATGTTTTTTCTGGAGTGATTATTCTGACGCTGCATGACAAGCTATTCAAAGTTGCCAAAACGAAGCAGCCCATTTGTGTTCGGGTGCATGCAATACAAACGGAATTAGAATCTTTGTTTTCATTGTACGGTGTAGGACAGAAGATTGAACATGTTTATGCCCCTATCCCTAGCACACCTTGCCCAGCCATTGTTGAGCCCACACAGCATTTTGATGATGAGGAAGGACTGCCTGAAAATATGTTATCGATAACTCCAAAGTACCTCAAGTAAGTCAAAGGATGATTAATGACTTGGGTTTTTAGTGACTCAAAACACTGAAGCATTTTCTTGTCATTCATCAGGGAACGGGCGCAAACACCGCATTTCGCCCAGCCGGGGACTTTTGAATTTGAATACTCGTCTCGCTGGAAAGCTCTTGACGAATTGGTAAAACAGCAGCGAGAGCAGGTGGACAAGAGTATTAAAGAGGCCAAAGAGAAGCTGGAGGCTGAATTAGAGTCGGCGAAACATGAACATCAGCTCATGTTGATGAGGCATGGTAGGATCTATTTGGACTGCTTCAGTATTTTTCCGGACTTTTTATCTTACTTTTTTCCGCCATGCTATAAACAAACCATGCAGCTTTTAACACTTAACATCTGAAGTGACTCATTATGAATTCTCACTGACATCTCGTTACATTTGACCAATGAAATTATCGAAGACGTCACAGTGGACCAACGAAACTGTCTGAGTCCACCCTCATACTGATCAGCTATTTGGGGTTGGCGTGCACACGCGTGGTGGGTGGGTTGCGCAAGTGTGTGTGCGCGGCTGTGTAGAAGCAAAGATAATGGATCTAGTATATAGTAGAAGAAAAATAAGCAGCTTGTGTTGAGTTTAATGAGCATTGGGAACGAGTGCCATAAATACAGCCATCTCTGCACTGCGACACCCGTCTCTTTGTTGTTTGTTTGGCCTACCATTGTTGGCAACTGGCTAGCCCCAGAAGACAGCCTTTCTGGCCATGGAGCGACATCCCCTGCAACATCGCAAATACATAACAAATGGCTTTCCAAAGGCTACACTGCCGTGGACTTGTGTGCATGCTGCCTGATAAAGCTTGTCAGCGAATTGGCTTCGTGTGACAACAAGAGAGGTTCTGGCTAGCTGCGTTCAGCATTGTTTAGGGGTGTGTTGTGTTTACCGCTGCTTAGGGTGGATAGAAGTTCAGAAAAAAAAATCCATCTGTGTGACCTCTATCTTTGCAAATATCCCTTGTTATAACGTGGAGACCGGCAACTTTGAATACCAAATAGCCAGTAAAAGTACAACTGTGTTTTTATGGATAATTTTAGCTGTTGTGGCTTTTAATCAAGTGTGTTTCGTAGTCCGGAAATTATGGTAATTACTGCAAGTGCAATCTTTCTAGTCCATTCAGTTATAAGAAGGGTCTCACTTGCTGCTGCTCCTTAACATTACCATACTTTACAGATCTAATGAGACGTCAAGAGGAGCTGAGGCGACTGGAAGAGCTTCGCAACCAGGAGCTTCACAGACGAAAACAGATAGAGTTGAGGTATAGTTTCCTTGCTTACATAATGATGTCAACACAAGAGCCAATACTGTAGTTTGGGTTTTCAAACTAAATTTGGTCGTGGGCCATATCATAAGGGGTGTTCACATGGCAACTTTTACCCCCGTAGAGCGTTCACACGTACAAAGTTATATCGGTGTAGCCCCTGAAAACAGCTTAAACCGGAGCAAATTTAACCCTGCTCAGGAGGTGGTTTAAAAATTTACTTCGGAGTAAATGCTAGTTTGCGGGGCAGCACCGATATAAAATTGGACGTGTGTACGCTACAGGGGTAGAATTGTCGCGACGCCACTCAAGCGAAGCGCGACTCAGCAGTCGATAGTCCGCTGCTCTCTGCTGTGCGTGCGTCAGCGCGAACATGTACGCATGCGCGCGTCTTTTGGCCTCAACCAATCAGCACCGACGCAACGGACGTTACACATCAGAGCTTTGATCTACGACACCAGCTAAGCTAGCCTAGCCGAGACAACAGCTAAGTTAGTACTGACGACACGACGGTCGAGGTCGGACGGACACGCTCTCATTGGTAATCTGTGTGTTTTCCTTTTTTTCTGTCCAAATATATATGTTCTACAATAGCAGTCTTGTCCACGGTGTCTTTTTTCGTTCCACCGGGGTTTAGCTAATGTGTTTATAAAGAGACCAACATCTCTTTAGACTCGCTACGACGCGTGAGAGGAGTTGATTACATACGGGTATTGAATGTGTTGCTTTTGTGCTCTGTTGTACATCCGTCATCTTTCCTTTCTCTCTCTCATCCTTTTACGGTGTCTGATAGACCACAGTGTTGATTTGTCTTGAGAAGTATAAACCATGGTTTTTCGATATGTCACAAACAAG